CCACTTTCAGGTCTCCTCACATGTGGTGGGTTCCATTTTTTTTTGTCATTAGGGGCGCTGGCTGAGTACGGGCCTTCCATAGCTGCTGCCAGGCCCCTATCTGCCATGGGCCCCCTGTACCGCCTCCTCATGCTGCTGCCAGGTCCACAGTGTCTCATCGGGGTCCCTGTACGGCCTCCACATGCGGCTTGCTGTCTCCATCGCCATCACTCTGCCAGTGGGGGGGTGCCCCACTTTCAGATCTCCTCACACTGCTGGTGTGTTCCATTTTTTGTCATAGGGTGCTGGCAGATTACGGGCCTCCCATAGCTGCTGCCAGGCCCCTAATCTTGCCATGGGCCCCTATGTACCCTCCTCATGCTTGCTGCCAGGTCCAGAGTCTCTCAAGTGTCACCTGGTACGGCCTCATTGCTGCTGCTCCATCGCAACCAGAGTGTCACTCTGCCATGTGCCACTTTCAGGTCTCCTCACACACTGCTGGTGTGTTCCATTTTTTGTCATCAGGGTGCTGGCAGATTACGGGCCTCCCATAGCTGCTGCCAGGCCCCTAATCTGCCATGGGCCCCTGTACCGCAGCACTCTGCTGCTGCCAGCGGTCCACAGTGTCTCTCATGCCTGTGCCACTTTCAGGTCTCTCACAGTGTTCCATTTTTTGTCATGGGTTGCTGGCAGATTACGGGCCTCCCATAGCTGCTGCCAGGCCCCTAATCTGACATGGGCCCTGTACCGCCTCTCCATGCTGTGCCAGGTCCACAGTGTCTCATGGTGCACCTTTCAGGGTTCTCCTCACACTGCTGGTTGTGTTCCATTTTTTGTCATAGGGTTGCTGGCAGATTACGGGCCTCCCATATTGCTGCTGCCAGGCCCGTAATCTGCCATGGGCCACCCCTGTACCGCCTCCTCATGCTGCTGCCAGGTCCACAGTGTCTCATGGGGTCCCTGTACGGCCTACCATTGCTGCTGTCTCCATCGCCACACTCTGCCATGTGCCACTTTTCAGGTCTCCTCACACACTGCTGGTGTGTTCCATTTTTTGTCATAGGGTTGCTCCGGCAGATTACGGGCGTATGTCCTCCATAGCTGCTGCCAGGGCCCCTATGTCTGCCATGGATACCCTGTACCGTTAAGCCATCCTCATGCTGCTGCCAGGTCCTTGGAGTGTCTCATGCCAAATGCGGTGCTACTTTCAGGTTCCTCACACTGTGGTGTGTTCCATTTTTTGTCATAGGGGTGCTGGCAGATTACGGGCCTCCCATTGCTGCTGCCAGGCCCTAATCTGCCATGGTCCCCTGTACCGCCTCTTCATGCTGCTGCCAGGTCCAGAGTGTCTCATGGGTCCTGTACGGCCTCCCATTGCTGCTGCCAGGGAGCTATCTGCAGCAGGGTCTGCAGCAGTGTGCTAGTGGAGGCAAACGGCCACGGAGTAGAGCAGTCAAGCTCCACTGCAGACCTTGTACTACGGCCAGTTGTGGTGCATAGTGTGCTAGCTTCGGAGGCCCCTTAAGTGGCAGTTAGCTTCAGTGTGAGCCAAAGTCTCATGGGCTGCACAGTTGCCATTTACTCGGCGATCTGTTGGTGTGGCAATTTTTCGTCAAGCTGCCCGAGGGAGAGTTAACGCTAGCCGTTATGTCAGACTATGTGGCCAGGAAAGTCCAGCAAGGTGGCAGGGGGCCCATGTTGGGGGATAACAGCCATTGCGTCATCATATGACAGCGTCGCCATTCGTGTGCTTTCTCCTGGGAAAACCGTGAATAAAGATACGGCGGTTTGCCTGCCCTGCCCCAGCCCAGGGTGTTCCATTTTTTTCATTAGGGTTGCTGGCAGATTACGGGCCTCCCATAGCTGCTGCCAGGCCCCTCCCTTATCTGCCATGGGGCCCCTGTACGCCTCCTCCTCATGCTGTCTGCCAGGTCCAGAGTCTCTCATGGGTCCTGTACGGCCTCCCATTGCTGCTGTCTCCATCGCCACATCTCTGCCATGTGCCACTTTCAGGTTAGGGCTCATCACACTGCTGGTGTGTTCCATTTTTTGTCCATAGGGTGCTGGCAGATTAAGGGTCTCCCATTTGCTGCTGCCAGGCCCGTAATCTGCCATGGGCCCCCGTACCGACTCCTCATGCTGCTTAGCCAGGCCAGTAATCTGTCATGGGCCCCTGTTGTCGCTTGTTGGCATATTCCGCTCGTTCAGTTGCTCCCTTCTCCTGGCTACTCCTCTTCACGGATTCCGTCAGCAGTCTTTCTTGGAATCCGTTTCCAAGAGACAAACAGTTTGCGAGGCACGCACTAACCGACTGATGTGTGCAGAAGCTGAACGTCCTCCTGTCCAAGTTGCTGCTGCCAGGCTCGTAATCTGGTCATGCGCCCCTGTACAAGCCCGTTCCGACTCCTCATGCTGCTGCCAGGTCCAGTAAGTGTGTCATGGGTCCCTGTACGGCCTTCCATTGTCATGCTACGGGCCATTGGCCCGTATAATCTGCCATGGGCCCCCGTACCAACTCCTCATGCTGCTGCAGGCCCGTAATCTGTCATGGGCCCCTGTACGCCTCCTCATGCTGTCTTGCTGCAGGTCCAGAGTGTGTCATGGGTCCTGTACGGCACTCTCCCATTGCTGCTGTCACCATCGCCACACTCTGCCATGTGCCACTTTCCAGGTCTCCTCACACTGCTGGTGAGTGTTCCATTTTTGTCATAGGGTGCTGTTATGGCCTCCCATTGCTGTAATTGCCTGCAGTAATCCGCCACACTGTGGCTCCACACTCTGGTTTTGGCCCCGTGACTGCCCAAATGAGTGAAGTGCACAGTGTGCGGTGATTCTAAGATCGACGGCATTATCATTGCATGTCATACTGACTGTCAGTATTATTTTCTTTTCCCCAGCAGACTCCAAGGGCATTTAAATTAAAGGTACAGTGTTCTGCACTAATATAAAAGGCTCTTTGAAGCCTAGAGAAACACCCTTTTATAAGTTTAAATTCGCAGCGAATATATTCGACTCGAATCGAAATTTTTTTTTCACAAGGGAATTCGCCAAATCAGTCGAATCGAATTTTTGAATAATTCGCTCATCTCTAATTATTATTATACAGGATTTATGGAAGTGATGGATCTTATCCCCTGCTTTGTAGGAACACATGATCCATCACTTCCCCCCTGCCAGATTGTGAGCTCTGCCTTGGGTTTAATGTAGGGAGAGCTTCATTCTGTATCTCCGCCCAGACACTGCACGAGACCCGCGGAATGGTTTATGCTGTGAGTGATCACAGCCAAAGCGGCCCACCGGCGGCGCATGTGCACGCCTCATAGGCGGAAGTGCAGAATCACATAGATTGAAGTGATTTTGCACAGGAGGACACACTGTAGCAGTATATCTGCTATAGGGCGGTCCTTAACTGATTAACAGACAGAAAGCGGTAGTTCATGTGTGTACTGGAGAGTTTAGTCAAATAGGATGAACTGGAGATTTGAATCAACTAAAGATTAAAAGATTATGACTAAAACTAAATCAAAATTTTAAGTCAAAATTAACAGTGGTACTGGCCAATGATTTAAGACACATGACCTGCTGAATGGCTTAACTAATGATATTACACAGCCCTGAGTTGACAAGCAACAAGGGGCTCTCTGTAGATATAGCAACAATTTCACAGTTTTTTTCTCCCTGCAAAGCAGAGAGGTAAAACAGTCACGTCACTTAGTAAAAGCAGCACACATTACATATTGTTAGGCATACAGTTAACCCTTTGATAGACCCTAGATGTTAACCACTTCCCAGCCAGTGTCATTAGTACAGTGACAGTGTATATCAGCATTATATTATTAGAGTCAATGAAGATGTCAGTGTCATTTACTCAGTTTACACCCAGTGTCAGTTAGTGTCAGATTGCCCTCCGCACTACTATAAGTCGCTGATCACCACCATTACTAGTATAAAAAATCCCAGTAAATATACCATCATTTTAGATGTTTTTTAACTTTAGCACAAACCAATTAATATACACTCATTGGGATTTTTTCTTAACAAAGACATGTAGCAGAATACATGTTCGCCTAAATTTAAGAAATTTGATTTATATATATATATATATATATATATATATATATATATAGAACAGAAAATGGGAAATATTGTTTTTATTTTCAGTTTTTTTTTTTTGTTTATATAGTAAAAAAAAAAAAAAAAACAGTGGTGATCAAATATCACCAAAAGAAAGCTCTATTTGTGTGAAAAAAATATATAACTTTTGTGTGAGTACAGTGTTGCGTGACCAAACAATTTCCGGTTAAAGTAGTACAGTGCTGAATAGCAAAAAATGCCCTGGTCATGAAGGGGGTAAAACCTTCCGGAGTTTGTGGTGCACAGACACAAATAAGTTCCGCCCTAAAACTATATTATACTCAAATACAAAAATGTATCATATTGCAGCTTACCAGCTCTTAGACACAGTGGTTGCATTAGTTTTTCTTTTTTAGGTCTTTGTTTTGTGATCATGTACAAAGGAATAAAATAAAGCATGAAGTTTCCTTACACATGATTAGATGATTAAAGTGAACTTTTATTCTTTTAATAAATCGACCCCAATGAGTGAGGTTAGGCAGAGTACACGGCTTCAGAATTAAGGTTTCCATGACCTCTGACACCTGTCACTCACTGAAATGTAAAGAATGTCAATGCTAAATGCCTGGCTGTATCTGAATTTATTGCCTTCTGAGCCATTAAAGTAAATTCCAACTTCAACTAGCGTTAAATATTTTCCCTCTCTCCTCCTAACACATATGCCAACTAACCTATGTTAAAAAGATGTATATACTAACCTATTTTCAGCCTGCCCTGTTCCGGTCACGTTATTCAGCTCCTGTGTGTCAGTCAGTGGCAGCTGCAGGGGAGAGGAGAGAACACCAATGGATAGGCAATGGAAACTTATGGGTGACATCACCACTCCCAGTCATTGCCAGCCGTTGTCCCATCTCCCTCTCTCTCCCTTTATTGCTGATCACCGACATTAGTAGTATAAAAAAATTCCAGTATATACTATCGTTTGTAGGCGCTATAACTAATACACTTATTGGGATTTTTTTTTTATCAACATTTTTGCCAATTTTTTTTATTGGATATGTTTTGTAGCAAAAAGTAAAAAATATTGTTTTTTTTCAAAATATTTTAGTTTTTTATCACAGAAAAAAAAAACAAAAGAAAAACCCCAGTGGTGATTAAATACGGCCAAAAGAAAGCTCTATTTGTGTGAAAGAAATTATATAAATTTTGTTTGGGTACAGTGTTGCATGACTACACAATTACCAGTTAAAATAGTGCAATAGCAAAAAAAATGGCTGGTCATGAAGAATATCTTCCGGAGCTGAAGTAGTTAGTCTGGAATTTTGGTTAACTCAGATGCAGATCAGGAAATCTAACTTCACTTACTGCATGCTTGTTCCAGGTCAATAAATCTGAAACTATTGAAATCAGCCAGCCAGACAACTACATAGCTTTTAGAAAAAGCAGCAATGGCAGCCTACATATTTTTATTTCAGTACAGGTTTCCTTGAAAAGTAAGGAGAGAGCCTGGGTGATATTGAGAGAAATGACTCTGGTTTCCTCTAATGAGGGATGATGTGTACAATTTCAGTGAAGACTTCACAGTTTCCATTGTTTTTTTTTTTTTCATGTTTGCCTTTTCTTTTTTATTCTCTCATCTTCTGCTGTTATTACAGCTCCGGCTCTATTCATCAGTAGGAAGAAGGCGAGAACAGAAGATTAACAGTGCATGGCAGATGGTATACTAGGAGGTAGAAGTCTTAATTCTTTTGTCTTTTTTTGAATTATTTGATCAGAAAAATATATTTGGACCTGGGAATCATTATTCCACATTAGGGGTTTCTTATTTTTAGGAACCACCTGTACTCCCAACAATGTTAGCTATGAGTTTTTAATGATTTTTAAGTGCTAACAATGATCTCCTATATTTATTTATGTAGAGTGCTAGCCCTTGTGAACATCAGACTGGTGTGGATAAGAAGAAGGTCAGGAGATGCCAGAGATATGTAGCACTACCCCCTTAGGGGCCGCTGGATTTGAATTGGGTCCCCCTATGCGCTGCACGGCCAGGCAACATGCATTTTCATACTTTTCACACTGGAGTCAATGAACAGTACTTGAGTTTGGTTTTTTGTTTTTATTAAGGGGTTAAACTTGGATGGGGTATAGGGGTATATGGGATGTGTGAGGAACTGTAGGGCTTGAGCACTCAATTCCTTAGAAACTATATATAAAGATTCAGTTTAGCAACAGTCTCTTCTTTAACAGCACTAAAGGCTACCTCCTCAGACCTCAGATGATTCCTCCTCTTCATCCAGCTGCCTGAGGGTATCCCTGAGCAATGGGGCCCAACAGTTGTTAATTTAGAACAGTCCCAGGTGAGAGGCTAGGTCGGTCTTACACTTGACTGCCCTCTCCCCTTATCTGCCCAAGGGGGTGTAAGAGTACTCACACTCTCCTCTCCTGTTAGCTTGGTGGGTTGGTGGCTGCCTTCAGGCTGTCCTCCATGGAAGATATTGAGGCAGTGGAGATCCTCTTTTACAAAAACCCACCTGTAGGTGGGCTCCCCTCCCTGGGCTCTCTCCCAGGCTCCACACTCCAGCCTTCCTCAATACATCTTCCAGCAGACACTGCACACCTACCTGCAGGCTCTGCCACATTTGAGGGTTGCCTTGGTCACTATACCCATCTTCCTGTTAATAGATCGGCCAAGGTCCCTCCAACGTGCAGATCTGTGCCTCCTCCACCCCTTCTCCAGAAGGCTCTCAGGTTTCTGGAGAGGTGGAAGGACTCCAGAACCCCTGACCTGATACAGTCTCCCAGCCTATCCTGAAGTGACCTCACTACCTCACTCCCCAGACTGACTCATCCCCAGGCTGCTACTCAGCCTCTAACAAAAAACTACCTAACTAACCTGGAGGGCGTTACAGATATGACAACTACAGATTGTCCTGAGCTGAGAGCAACTAGATGAAAAGGTGCATGAGCAGGTGAGCTAGAATAAAAAGGGTGGGGGAACTTTGTAGGTAGGATATTTTAGCATGTGATATCAGAAGACAGTGAAGCTTTATTGGGCACTGAGGGACCATTAGGGTGCAGAATTGCCCAGATAATTGGTTGCACCCTCCTGCCCTTGGAATAACTTTGTTTGGGAGAATTCAGTAGTGAGAAATTGACATATGAGGGAGCAGGGTTGAGTTGTTGGTAGAGGAGTCCAGTGTTACACCATGAGTGGTGACCTTTGCTACACAAAAATTGAATGTCTTGCACCTTTTCTATATAGCCCAAAACAATGAAAATAGTACTTCTCGAATGCCCCCTCCCCAGCATGTGAATAGACTGGTGAAAGACAGGCACGATAGGCTTGTTAGGCTCTAGCAGACATCAACAAAATGGTGGCCATCTGTATACAGACAGCAACTCTCTATTGTCTGCAGAGAAGTCCTCAAACGCGTTTTGCCGTTTTCAGAGGCCTACAACTAAGCCCTAAAAAGGGCAAAAAAAATGTCTGAGGAGTTCTCCACTATTGGAGAACAGGAGCTGAAGCCATCTTTTACTCATTTTATTCATGCAACAGAGAGATGCTATCTTTGTGCAGGCCACAGTTTTGTTGAAGATGCATCTGTACAGTTATAAATACTCAATCCCCATCAATTTCAGAATACATTTGGTGTCTGTTGTCTGATCTCCCATACTGCAGCATGTGTCTTCCAATTAGGCCTCACTGACTAACTAGGGACAGGAAGCTGCACCTGTATTTTCAAAGAAAATCCATAACACTATATTGATATTTAATAAACTTGGTGATATTCATTTTTGTGATGACACTTTATATTGGAGATTTTATTCCTACCTTATCGGTTTATTAAAGCCGTAGCCAAAATACTCCAAGGATAATTTGGTATATGATTGTTTTGGAGGGAGATGGGTGATCTGGTAGGGGCTGTAGGTTTGTGTCTAGTCCTAAATTTTCTTTTTTTTTTTGGAACTTTGCCCTACCTAAATTAAAATGATTGATATTTAAAAAAAATACAATGTAATTCTTTCACAAACTGACTCTGGATGCAAGTTTATGTGGAAATGTGTTTGCCTGGCTTTGCAGGACTATAGGGGGACCCGAAATCTCTTTGCAACTCTAAAGGGAGGAGTGCTACATATTGTACATTATGTGCTTACCTGCATGTGTCCTGCATGTCCTGACATCACCAAAGGGCTGAACACAATGTTCAATATATAGCACTCCTCCCTTAGGAGTTGCAAAGATATTTTGGGTCCCATCGTCCTGCAAAGCCAGGCAACACGCATTTCCACATAAACTTACATCCAGAGTCAGAGACCAGTCCTTGAGCTTTGGTTTTGTTATTTTTCTTTAGGGGATTTAAACTAGAATAGGGTTAGGGGTGTACAGGTTGCCCAAGGGAAATGATGAACTGAGGACAACTTCCTGGAACTATTTACAAGCCTTCACTGCAACACTGCCTCTGTTGGAGAGCTAGCCAGGATCAAGTAATGTACCACCCCGGACCCTAGATTAACTAACCTTTCTTTGCCCAACAATCTGGAGGTATTCCTGAACAGGGGATCCTGTTGCTTTAGGAAATGGACAGTCCCAAATAGGTGGTGAATCTGGTTTCCCACCAGAGTGCTCCTTCCCCTATCCGCCCAGGTGGTGCAGATCCTCTCCTGTACTGCTGGTAGTTTGTGGCTGCTATGAGGCTTTTTAACTGGGCTGCTCCTTCCCTGCTGTACAGGTGGTCCTCGCTCTAGGGGCCAGTGAAGTCCTGAGCTTTCCTCCTTTCCAGCTCCACTGCCTGTAGGTGAGCCACTCTCATTATCTGGGCCCCCTCCCAGGTTCCTGCCTCCAGCCTCACATGCTCCTCTTTGTCTTCCAACCAAACTCTCCTGCAACTGAGCATGCTCAGAAACTCTTAAAGGTTGTCCTAGCCCCTGTCCAAGCCTCCTGTTGGGAATTGGCCAGGATCCTTCAAGAGTTCAGGCCAGGCTTTCCTCAGATCTACCCACTGTTTCTAGACATTTCTCCAAAAATCTAGAGAATAGGGAAATTCCAGAGGGCTGGGCTGCAGAGCCTCTCAGCTCCTGACCCAAATGTGCTACAAATATATGTATTGCTTGAGAGGACTGTCAGCAACTCCAGACCTAATAGGAAATGAGGATCAGAGAGTGTGGACAGGATACATTTTGGCTGGGAATATGATGCAAAAGACAATACAAGAATATGCATGCATCATACTAGGGGGGGTACAACTGGGGGAATCAATGGTGGAGAAGGATCTGGGGGTGATCTGGGGGTTCTGGTAGATCACAAGGTTCATAATGGCATGCAATGGCATGTAATGCCAAGCTGCGGGTTCTAAAGCGAGCAAAATCCTCTCTTGTATTAAAAGAGGTATAGACTCCAGAGAGAGATAAATCATATTACCCCGGTACAAATCATTAGTAAGACCTCATCTGGAATATGCAGTTCAGTCTTGGGCACCAATTCACAAAAAGAACATTGGAGAACTGGAGAAAGTACAGAGAAGGGCAACCAAACTGATAAGAGGCATGGAGGAGATCAGCTATGAGGAAAGATTAGAGGAACGGAATTTATTCTCTCTTGAGAAGAGGAGATTAAGGGGGGATATGATCTCCATGTATAATACATAAGGGGGGATATGATCTCCATGTATAATACATAAGGGGGGATATGATCTCCATGTATAATACATAAGGGGGGATATGATCTCCATGTATAATACATAAGGGGGGATCTCCATGTATAATACATAAGGGGGGATATGATCCATGTATAATACATAAGGGGGGATATGATCAACATGTATAATACATAAGGGGGGATATGATCTCCATGTGTAAATACATCAGTGGTTCATATAGTGAACTCGGTGTAGAGTTATTCACCCTGAGGTCATTCACAGAGGACAAGGGGGCACTCTTTATGTCTGGAGGAAAATAAATTTAATCTCTAAACATGGAAAGGTTTCTTCACAGTGAGAGCTGTGAAAATGTGGAATAGACTCCCTCAAGAGTTGGTTCTGGCCAGCTCAATAGATTACTTTAAAAAAGTCCTGGATTCTTTCTTAGACACACAGAATATAACTGGATACTAACATTTATAGGTAAACTTGATCCAGGGAATATCCGATTGCCTCTCGGGGGGATCAGGAAGGAATTTTTTCCCTGCCGTAGCAAATTGGATCATGCTTTGCTGGATTTTTTGCCTTCCTCTGGATCAACTGTGGGTATAGGATTATAACTTTTTTATGGTTGAACTGAATGGACTGTTGTCTTTTTTTAGCCAGACTAACTATGCAACTATGTAACATACTCCCCCCCCCCCCCCAGTAACAATAGGTCCTCCACCAGTAACCGTAATCCTCTCCGGCAACAACAGACCTCCAGAACAATAGTTCCCTCCCAATGAAAATTGATCCCCTAGTTGCCAGCAACAATAGACCCTCCAGTACACCCCACCAGTTCTTGCCATTAGATACCTCTTAGGGGATCAGGAAGGAATTTTTTCCCCTGCCGGAGCAAATTGGATCATGCTTTGCTGGGTATTTTGCCTTCCTCTGGATCAACTGTGAGTGTAGGATAACTTTTTTTTATTTTTTTATGGTTGAATTGGATGGACTTTTGTCTTTTTTCAGCCAGACTAACTATGTAACTATGTATACATCCAGTGCTGGAAATGTTGGAACTGCGTTCCTCCACGTTCCCGCTGAAAATAAGCCCTGCTTACAAAGGAGAACAATGTCAGTTAGTATAGTTATTGTTTCTGTTTACCTTAAACAAAATTAATTATGAGCTGAACATTGCGGTGCTGGTGAGAATACAGTGAATGTTCCTGAGATGTTTCTTGTATTTCCCACTGAAGAACTGGGAATACAGATGTTGAGATTACAGTGATCCCACTACAAGGCTCATTTTTTTATTCTTCCCAGAGTAAAGCTAAAAACATAAGCAAATGTGAAACATTCAATTATTAACAGAATGGACACCCAATTCAGGATTTAACGCAAAATATCAGAAAGAATATGCAGCAAACAAAAGTTTTCAAAAATCTTCCTTTTTTATTACTAATGAAAAAGATGATGGTTTTTAGGGAAAAAAAAAAACAGGAATTCATTGTGTTATGGGGAGCGTTAGGACAGATCGTGGTTGCTTTTTGATCATGTTCTCAGGCTCCTTTTACCTGTGCTGGAGAAGCAGGTGTGATCAAAACTTCAAGGAGATTTTTTCCAAGCTGCAGACAGAATATATTGTTAATGAGTTTCTTTGTTTAAAGCATTAGGATTTCATTCTGGTATTTTTTCCTTCCTGTAAATTAAATTCTTGCTTAAAGGATAGGTTCATTTTTAGTAACTTGATATTTGTTACGCCAGTATTTAGGGGTAACATTTAGTAACATGTAGAAAGGGGATGTCTAGTGAGCGCTACCCTAGGAGTAAAAGAAATAGATAAATACACTCGCTGCTGAAACACCAAAATAAAAGGTAACCAAAAAACCTCCAGAAATATATGAATCACAATAGACAGGTGCAGCACTGAGTAATGATAAACACTTATAATATACACACTTTCATGTTATATCAACAGGTGCAAACGGATGATCTCACCAAATGGTGATTCTCAGTGACTTAATAGTTCGATAGGATATAATAAAATCGTGCGGATCCTGAAGGATCACAATGCCAGGTGCGTGGATATCCTGATCCGGGAGTATGAAATCCTGCGTCTCCAGACATTTAGTGGTCATCTGTTCCGAGGTCAGGTCACACATCAGATAACCATCTGGTCACATCAGCACAGAGGTACCACGGTCCTTTGGTGCGTATCACCATCTTGGGTCATCTCTTTTAGAATGGGCACTGCGAATGGAGGCACTCACACGGAGAGCCCAAGAGACCACATAGTGTGATACTGTATATAGTACCTTTTATTCCACTAAGATGAGTATTACAAGGTGATAAAATATATAAATATACTGACCATATGTTCAGAGTGGCCACCAACAGTATCACACTATGTGGTCTCTTATTGGGCTCTCCGTGTGAGTGCCTCCATTCGCAGTGCCCATTCTAAAAGAGATGACCCAAGATGGTGATACGCACCAAAGGACCGTGATACCTCTGTGCTGATGTGACCAGATGGCTATCTGATGTGTGACCTGACCTCGGAACAGATGACCACTAAATGTCTGGAGACGCAGGATTTCATATTGCGTATTGTAAACGCACTTCTGGTGAGTGCGTATTTCATTCATTTGAAGCACACCATCTGTCACTCCTGGATCAGGATATCCAGGCACCTGGCATTGTGATCCTTCAGGATCCGCACGATTTTATTATATCCTATCGAACTATTTAGTCACTGAGAATCACCATTCGGTGACATCATCTGTTTGCACCTGTTGATATAACATGAAAGTGTGTATATTATAAGTGTTTATCATTACTCAGCGCTGCACCTGTCTATTGTGATTCAAACATTTAGTAACATGTTACTAAGCAGAATCCTCTCCCTCACCCCCCTGACAGCGGGTGGGGGTTCTTCTCTCCATAGTCGCTGTCACATTTTGAAATTACATAGTTACATACTTGGTACGGTTGAATAAAGACATCAGCCCCACAGAAGGACACTGCTACTCCCACCATGTTTCACTATAGGCACCATGCATTTTTCTTTGTACTCTTCACCAGGGGCAGACTGACCATTTGGAAACTTGGGCACTGCCCGAGGGCCCGGGGTCAATAGGGGGGCCCCATGAGATGCCCCTGGTACCTTTTTCATAGGCTTTTTTGAGTTTGGGCAAGGACACAGGGGCCCCATGATTCCCGTTCATTTACAAGGATCTGTGAATGAATGAACTACAAGTCCCATCTTCCACGGTGACAGATGGACTTGTATTGTCAATGAACTACGAGCATGCTGATCAGCACACTTGTAGTTCATTTACACTGCCTGAGGCACAGGACCTGTCTGCCTGTACAGAGGAACGGGCAGAGAGCTTCAGGCACTGTGTGCTAGACATGTGCAAAACAAAAAAAATTTGTTTCGTTTTATTTCGTTTCGAGAATTTTTTTCATTGCAAAACAAAAAAATATGTTTCGTTTTTTCGATTCTGAAAAATTTTGTGTAGTTTGTTTCAACAAATTTGTTCAATTCGTTTTCGGGATTCGTTTCGGTAATTCGTATTCGAATTCAATTAAAAAACATCTTGACCAAATTCGAAAAGACGTTTGTGTTCGACATTGGTTCCATAAAATTCATAATTGATTCAACAAAATTCGAAAAGTCGTTCGAAATCGAAAAGATTTCAAGCAAATTCGAAAAAAATGTAACGGGGAGCGGGGGGACCAGTCCTTAAAGCAGAACTTCCCTTTTTGGGTGGAGCTCTGCTTTAAATTTGTGTTTGAATATTTGTTTGATTTTGTTTTCAAATTTGTTTTCGAATTCAAATTTTTTTTTCTAATCTGTTTTCAAATCGAATTTCGGCATCCGAATCTCAGAATAATGCAAAAAATTTGTCCAAAATGCGTTTTGGAACGAAACAAACCACACATATTTAGTGTGTGCAGGAGCCTGACAATGCACACGCGATCTACTGATTACAGGTGCAATGTTCTGAAGACTCCAGTCAAAAAAATAATAAATGCACATTTTTTCTGCTTTTTTTTAGGAATGGTGAACGTATCCTTTAAAGGGAGATTTCACTTTTCTGTCAGGTCTCTGAGAGACTATAGAAGGGGGCGTGGCAGCTCCAGACATTTCCCATTCACACACACAAAGCGTGGCTCAGCCCAACCCCGCTCTCTCCCTATTGGTGATTGACAGCAGCAGGAGCCAATGGCCTCCGCTGATGTGTGAGCCAATGAAGAGAGAGAGACCCGGGAGAGCTGTGGCTCTCATGCAGATCGCTGGATTGAGATGCGGCTTAGGTACGTTTAAGAGGGGCATGCATCCAGGAGGTTTTTTACTTTAATGCAAGGAATGCATTAAAGTTAAAAAAAAACCATGACTTTAAAGCCACTTTAAACCTACCTACTCTACTACCTAAAGTAAAAGAGGAGGTGATTTCACATCTGTAGGCTCCCTGCATCACTTACTAAAATTGATAACCAGACCTGCACATCTCAGGTATAGCAGAGGCTGCACCCCAACCACCAATCATACCTGCCTACAAGCCTCATAGCATTGTCACCCTAGGCTGCTGGCTCCTGACTACAGAACCCCTCCCCTCTCCTCATCTCCAAACCGTAAGGCGAGGTGTTCTGTAGCCCAATAGGAGAACTAGGCAAGGCTAAGGAGCCTGCTTAAGATTTCAATGAAGCAGAGGCACTTTGTTGTCAGCTCACCACAAGAATGTACAACCAGCTAGATTTCGGCACTAACCACCCATTCATACATAACCTATTTTCAGCTTGTGTGTCTGACTAAGCTCAACATGCAGTATCCCATTCTTGCTAATTGTCCCTGTTCACACTTGTACGCTCAGTTACCATATGCTTTACGTTCAAAAAAGCTGAGCTTTTTTTAGCATATCTAAATGTGTTCTCTCCCCATAAAATGTACTTGTGTGCCCATAAATGAGAAATTAATTTTTGCACGTGTCAAGAAACATAAAGCTTGTAAACCCCCCCCCCCCCCCCCCAAAAAAAATGCTTAAAAATCACTAGGAATATGTTCCGCCCAGGTGTCAATGTAGTCTTATTTATAGAAATGTGCACTATGAAAACATTTATTTTGTTTTGGATTAATTAGTTAAAGTGATACTAAAGGTTCTTTAAAAAATATATATATATATCAAACATGTCTATACTTGCCTGCTGTGTTCAGTGGTTTTGCACAGAATAGTCTGGATTCTCCTCTTCTCGGGTCCCCCGCAGGCTCTACTGGCTCCTTCTTTCTGTTGGGTGACCCCATAGCAAGCAGCTTGCTATGGGGGCACCCGCTGTTCCGTGTGTCCATTCACACAGGAAGCTGCGTCTTGTCCCCACCTCCTCTCTCTTCATTGGCTGACTGGCTGTGATTGACATCAGCGGGATCTGGCTCCCGCTTGCTGTCTCAGCCAATGAGGAGGCAGAGACCTGGACAGCCAAGGCTGTTGTGCACATCGCTGGATCTCAATGGAGCTCAGGTGAGTGTTGAGGAGGCTGAGGGCACTGCAGCACACAGAAGGTTTTTTACCTTCTTGCATAGAATACATGAAGGTAAAAAACCTTCAGCCTTCACAACCGCTTTAAGTCAATCATTGCATTTCATCATATTCCTTACCATATGTTAGAATGATTTGTTTTCGGATTTTGGCTGGTATATTCAGATTTGTTTCATATATTCATTATTCCAAATCAATTAGTATTTTCAGAAGTTATTTCGGAACATTCGGATTCATTCCTTATGTTTCCAGTGCGACTTTGCATTGCGACACATTGCAGACGTGGGACTTGCTTGCAACTTCCTTTTGACTTCAATGCGACTTGCTTGCAATTTTAATTTTCTTCAACTTTGGCCAGTCATAACAATACAGAGTGTGACACATAATATTGAACTTACAAAACCCTCTAAAGTCACAAATGAATGAAAACGAATGAATTTGTTGTTTTCGTTATAATTTATTTTGGAATCGTTGAAATTCAGTACTATTGTGATTTGGAGATTATTAATTAGTATTACTATTAATATAAAGGATTTATATAGTGTCATCGCTTTGCGCAGTGCTTTACAATATAAAAGGGAACAATACAATTACAATGCAGTTTAATACAGAAGGAATAGGAGGGCCCTGCTCATGGAGCTTACAATCTAAAGGAAGGGAAGGTGATTCAAGAAGTGATAGCTGTAGGAGATGATCTGATGGAGGAGACTCAAGTGCAGTTCTTCGGTGAAGGTGGGGTAGGCTTCCCTGAATAAGTGGATTTTCAAGACGAACACAGTGTCCCCATTCCATAACAAGTCCACCATTGAACTTTGGGTTTGGGTCATTGAGGCTATGCCCACTGATCTTCCCAAAGCAGAGCATTTTCATAAGCTTTGTCAGATGGAAACCTTCTGGATTCATGCCCTGGATACCCCGTCTCCGGCTGGCCTCAGTGAGGAACTGGAGATAGACCATAATATAGCAGCTATTATCCTTGGGCCAGTTACCAACACCATTTATTTTGGGCATCATATACATCAATTATGATTTCCTATTAAAACTATTATACAGTGGAGATCGAAAGTTTGGGCACCCCAGCTAAAAATTTGTATTAATGTGCATAAAGAAGCCAAGGAAAGATGGAAAAATCTCCAAAAGGCATAAAATTACAGATTAGACATTCTTATAATATGTCAACAAAAGTTAGATTTTATTTCCATCATTTACACCTTTACACTTTCAAAATAACAGAAAACTGAGATTTTTATAAACTTTCGATCCCCACTGTATATACACATTATCTAGTATTTATCTATGCTTATTATGTGATAGAAATTCATGCCATGTTATGTAGTACCAGCCATACCATACCATATCATTTTCTTTTTTGTTACATTGTTTCACCAATCATTTCCATATATACATCTGTGTTGATTCCATCTAATTCATTTTATTTATTTATTCTTAATTCATGCTTTCCCCCCTTTTTTCTATCATATCCCACCTGGAAGAAAACATATTTTAAATATATTTTTAAATTATTCTACCCAAATTTATTGACATATATTTGAAATACTACAATTTTGGCTGTATTCAATATATTTCAAAATATATTTCAATATATATATATATAAATATATACTGTATGTTGAAATGTATTTTTATTACAAAATATATGAAATTTTTTTTTTTTTTTAAATTTTCAAATATACCGTACGTCTTTACAAATACATTTAATCTACATTTTTGGAATGCATTTAAAAATATATGTAAAAATGTTAAAATGACTTTTTTATTTGTTAAAAAAATCTGAGGGGGGCGGCATGTCAGCACAAGTCTGATCATTGGAGAACAGGCAGGCTGTGCTTGCACGGGAAAACTGACCATTTAAAAATACATTTAATCTACATTTTTGGACTGCATTTACAAATATATGTAAAAATATATGTTAAAGTGATTTGTTTATTTGTTAAAAAAATCTGAGGGGGGGGCGGCATGTCAGCACAAGTTTGATCATTGGAGGACAGGCAGGCTGTGCTTGCACGGGAAAACTGACCATGCTGGGATGGATAAGCTTCTGTGCCTGGTGTGATCAGTGTGAAATAAGAAAGCAGGGGGACTGGAAGGATCACCAGGTATTCACATAAAGGAAGCAATACAAAAATAACAGGATAGTTTTTAATACAAGTAACTGGTACAGCAGGCACATGTCAGGAATATGAAATGATTGGTATAACAAATACTTCAACAGACCAAGAAGAACTTTGGAGTGCCACTCTAAGCAGGAAGACAGAGTGTTCCCTTTGATCTTCAAGAATAGGGATGCCAGTGTCAAAATAAACTCATGCAGAAAGTGTTGCTCTCCTGGCCAGTCCCTGTGAACGTAAGAAACAGTCTCCGGAAACCACGGCCCTTGACGCATTTCATGCTGTCCACTGTCTATGACTAAGCCCCAGTGGGCGGGGTGAAACGCGTCGGATGGGTTTGTGGAGAAATGAAGATTGAGGCCGCTTCCTTCTCTTATCTCACAGGGGCTGGCTGAGAGAATGGCGTCTCTTTTACCTATATGCCTGTGTAAGGGCTGGGCTCTTGCTACTTAATGAGCAGTCTTTTTCTGCGCAGAAGCTCCTCAGCTTTCGGTTAATTACCAGCCACTCATTGTCTCCACAATGACTCACCTGGATACCATCACCTGCCTCATAAGTCCAGCCTACAGTTAGCCCTTTTTGCTATTTTAGCAGCTTAGCTCATTTCCTCCTTGCCCTTGCATGGTCTATGATCTCCAGCGTGTTCATGCCTGTGTTTGTGCATAGAACCTGGTCTGACTGACTGCTCTTCCAATTCCTGTCCCTGATTTTGCTCCTGGCTATGCTGACTTCTGGTTTCCTTACCCTGGCTTGTCTGAGTACCCACTCCAGCATCCTAACCCTGGCTTCAGTTTTGACTAGGTTCCTGAACTGTGTTATTTTTGCTATTTCATTAAAGATGTGATTTTAACTGCACTTTCTGTCTCCACCTGGTTTATGGTTCCTGAGAGCCTGACACTTTAATAGACCAGAAGGGATCAAATAAGAGAAGTTGTCAGAGATGCGGGTGTGACCAGAGATGTGTGTACTGACACAGAGAAACGCAGGCTTCAGATATGGTATAAATAAGACAATTTATTAAGACTAACAATACAAATATAAACACAGTGCACCAAACCCCAAGCTAACACAAATACATACAACAAGGTGAAACAAACCCAAACCTAAACTGATATAGATACACAGGCACATTCACATATAGAGCACAACGTAGTCAGGCAGGCCGGGTCAATAACTATCGGGCAGGTAGGTACAGGAGGAGCAGGCGGAGAGAATGGTCAGGGTCACAAGCGAGGGATCAAACAGGAGAAGTCAGCAGAGGTCAGCATCAGGCAGGGTCGGCAACAAGTCAGGCAGGAACAGGAACGCAGGTTACAAGGTACAGGGGCCCATGGAAAAAACACACACACCAAGGCCCAGACTGCAGGTCTGGCCATCCCTTAAATACACCACCTGCAATCAGCCCCAGGTGATGGCTAATTGCCGAAGTGAACCTCTGGTTGTTGAGAGCACCCGCTGGCCAGCCCTGGTACTGCAGCCCACAAGGCAGGTGAGTCCCACCACTATTGGCAAGTCCATTCCTGACAGAAGTTCTAAGGTTTACATTTTTTTAATTTTCATTCTGACCCTCACAGTACAGTTTTTGTTCTGAGTTTTGGATCCTTTTATTAATAGCTGTTTATGAATTGTTATCACCCTCTTTTCTTTTATAGAGGACACAAAGCATATTGTAACATTTATAGTCTGATATTATATTGCTTCTGTATAATGACATAATTTTAGCTTCTTCTAGCCCAGTAACTCTTTTTGTATATACTGTAATCTCTTCTCCTTTATGTTATGTTCTGCCCGATTTATGTGCAGTCTCCGGTCCACGTATATTCTGATGATGTATTTTATGAAATCATTTGGTCATTTCGTCCCTGTCACTCTCCAAGGTTGGAAGCGCTGCAAAGATAAGGCTCCGATCCCAACGCCACGTACTTCACTCCGCAGCCTTTCAAATCACATTTGTTTATGAAAATTAAGTGCCGGAATAACATTGAGTCTCCCATTTCAGAAGATGTGATTTACATAGTTTTACATACGCAAAATACAAGCGTGTGTAGTGGGAGTACAAGTAATCTAATTCAGCCAGATGGAAGCAGAAGCCCAACTTCAGACGGAGAGGGGGAAGAGGGAGCGCTATACATACAGCATATGTAATTGGCTCGGACTTTGTACGGCTTTAATTGTTGTAATTTAGGAATGATTGCATTACCTAGAAGTGACAGGGAATTGTGTTATATTGATAGGAGGACTCAATCTGCCTGCAGAATCGCAAACCGAGACCTATCCAGCTTGCGTGGAACTATCAGTACATATAAATTTTTTTGTTTAATGTGTTACAGCAGTGCAGAGGAACTGGAAAACTATCAAATCTTCCTTCAACTCAAGCTGATCTCAAAGAAAAGACGGCCATGGCACTTCACACACAGAAATCTCTTTTGCATGTTGGAAGAACTTCATTTGGATACAAAAAAGAACAAATAAACTGTCAGCTAAGGACGTTTTTTAACCACTTCAAAGCTGGACACTTTTACCCCCTTCCTGCCCGGGCCAATTTTCAGATTTCAGCACTTCACACTTTGGATGTTGTTTACTCCGTCATGCAACACTGTACCCAAATGACATTTTTATCATCTTTAATGAGACATAGAGCTTTATTTTTGTGGTATTTAATCGTCGTTGGGTTTTTTTTTTATCTTTTTGTTTGTTACATAACCAAAAAATACTGAAACTTTTTAAAAAAAATTAAAAAACACGGTTTTCTTCTGTTCAGTTATAAAATTTTGTTAATAATTAGCTTCATATATTTAGGCCAAATGTATTCTGCTACATTTCTTTGGAAAAAAATAATTCAAATCCGTGTATATTATTTAGTCTGTGTGAAAGTTATAGAGTCTACAAAGTATGGTATATACAGTGCTCAGAATAAATGAGTACACCCCAACAGATTTGTCAGAAAACCTTTACTTTCCTTTCAGAATCAACATTTTCTGTGGGACACGATACTACAAAATACTTCCACAAATGCAGGCCATTGATTGCAAACAAGATTTGTTAATTTGCACACACGAAAAAGTATTTTTCCTAAAAAAAATAATTCAAGACCGTGTTGCAAAAATGAATACAATGCAATGAAAGTCTTAGGAGCAAAGCTAAATTTTAGACAACACCACGTCTAATTAACAAGAATTCAGCTACAGGTGAGTCTAATTATTCATTAAACAGGTGTACAGCAGACAGTTGAATATAAAAGGGCGTTACCTAACAAAGAAAACCCCTTTCCATTTCATGCTGTCAGCAATAATGGAAGAGAATTGTCACAAAGCCTGAGAAAGAAAATATTTTCTTTACACATAAAAGGTGAAAGCTACAAGAAGATCAGCAAACCTTTACTTATCACTTAGAATACTGTAGCAAAAGTGATACAAAAATGTAACAAAGATGGAACTGCAACCATCTCACAGAGATGTCCAGGCTGTCCATGGAAGTTAACACCTCGACAGGAGCGTCTTCTGATGAGAAGGGTTGGAGAAAATCGCCATGCAAGTTTATGATGTAGCAAGCCAAGCTGGGGTGATTGTTTCCCATGACACAATACGGTGTACATTGCAGAGGAATGGCGTGTATGGGTCCACAAAAGAGGCCTCTCCTAAAGCCCATGCACAAAAAAGCCTGCCTAGAATTTCCCAGGGCCCATGCTGAAAAAGGAGATTACTAGGACTCTGTACTCTGGAGTGATGAGACCAAGTTACATGTTTTTGGAACTGATGGCTTCAAAACTGTATGGGTGTTGCAAAGGTGAAGAGCAGGGGCAGACTGACAACTCATGGGGCCCCCGGGCAATAGGGGATCATGGGGCCCCCGTGTCCTTGCCCAAACTCAAAAAATCCTATGAAAAAGGTACCAGGGACATCTCATGGGGCCCCCCTATTGACCCCGGGCCCTCGAGCAGTGCCCAAGTTTCCAAATGGTCAGTCCGCCCCTGGTGAAGAGTACAAAGAAAAATGCATGGTGCCTATAGTGAAACATGGTGGTAGCAGTGTCCTTCTGTGGGGCTGCATGGGTGCTGCTGTTATCGGGGAGCTGCATTTCATTGATGGTATCATGAATTCACAGATGTACTGCTCTATATTGAAAGAGAACATGCTACCATCACTTCGTGGCCTTGGTCGTCGTACACTTTTCCAACATGAATATGATCTAACACACATCTAAGGCCACTGTTGCATTTCTGAAGAAGAACAGGGTGAAAGTGATTCAGTGGCCAAGTATGTCTCCTGATCTGAACCCAGTCGAACACCTATAGGGAGTTTTGAAAAGACAAATCGCTCTCCATCCAGCATCCAGGCTCTAAAAGAGGTCGTTCTTGAAGATTGGAAAAAGATTGATATTGCAATATGTTGTCAACTTGTTCATTCCATGCCTAGATGACTTGGTGCTGTCCTTACAAATCATGGAGGTCATACAAAATACTAAATGTAGTAATTATTGCTGTGGGGTGTATTCATTTTTGCATCGACTAATTTGAGTAAAATTAAAGATTTTGTAATCAAAGTTATATTATTAACCTTTCATGAAATGAGCTAAACAAATGTTCTAGTTTTGTCAAAATTTTGAAAATTGTTCTTGTGTTCATTGAGATAATGATTAAAATCTTACATTTCAAACGGGGGTACTCATTTATGCTGAGCACTGTAGATTTAAAAATTGATCAATCCTGATGTACTGGCTACCTGTCTCATTTCTTGAGGTTCTAAAATGTCAGGACAGTACAAATAACCCCCAAATAACCCCCTCATGGAAAGTAGACACCCCAATGTATTCAGTAAGAGGAATGGTGAGTTTTTTGAATCTGTAATTTTTTTGTCACAATTTTTTGAAAAATGATGAAATTAAATAGAAATTGTTTTCATATTTTTTTTACCTATTGTTACCAGAGCAGTGCAGTGCAGCGTCACCATAAGACTGGTGTGGCAGTGATCAGGAACACTGACTGGCGAGAGTATGTAAAAAAAAAATATTTTTTTGAATATCTCTTTCAATTTTTTTCTTTTTTGACAATCATTTTACATACTATGACCAGAGCAGTACAGTGTCATCATAGTGACACTAAACTACTCTGGGGAGGTGATCAGGACTTTTTTTTTAACACTTGATGATCACTGTAATAAGCAATCTCTAACACTGTTCAAAGGCTTCATTCATGAAACCTTGCGTACTATTGTGATGCTGTGATTGGCCCCTGTACCATGTGATCACTGTGACCAATGGCAGAGATCACAATAGTACACACATTCTCTATGAATGAAAGCTATTGTCAACAACTGACATGTGATCACTATGTTTGGTCATATGGTACCAGGTCCACACTCAGCAGCCTGGTAAACCAGTGTGTTCTGCTGTGTCCGGTGGACACAGAGGGTCACAGATCATGCCACTGTGCGCCCCCTGGGGTGCTCATGAGGCAAGCAAATGGAAGGATGTCATATGACTATAGTAAAAAAAATGCAAGTCAAAATCTAACTACAGTGGATATAGAAAAGAATCACCCCAGAAAACATAAAGAGTTGTCGTTGGTCTTTGAAGGCACCCCCAAAACGATCCGAAATGTACCTGCGGACAACCATATTCCACTAGGCCTCCAGCCGCAACCAACCAGCTCGGAGACAACCATACCGTCCGCAGTGCAGCACCACCACCTTCCAGTTAAACCTCGGTTAACTGGGAATGTTCCCGGGCACACCATACCAACGATGGGTCCCACACCATTTTGTACCTCCAAGATAAGAACCGCCTCCAAAGACCAACCACCGCCCAGGAACCAAATTAACCCCCCCCCCCCCAGGAGGAACACAACATTCACCAAACAGGGCTGGCGGGAGGGAAGCTCTCTCTCCCACGTCCAGCTCCCAACTGACGCCCCTCCCCAGAACACCCCACCCTAAAGTGCAGGAGACCCCACCTACCCTCTCCTCTACCAACCAGATCCCCCAGCTATCCTTTACCTACTCTAAACAATCATTAACCCTCACATGTCTTTCTTCCCACTCTGGGCCTAGTCATGCCTGCCCTGCACTAATTCTTTTCTTCTTTTATCGCTGCGGGCATTTCTTTAGATGGGGTGGCTGAATTAATTTTCTTTTTTAGGCTTTTCCCCTCTGTTTTCACTTGGTGATCTGGCCAGTAACACACCTCCTGTATTAGAGTGCCCCACTCTGGATGAAGGAGCTCGGGAGGCACCTTTGGACAGCAGAATTGTCAGTCTTAGGGGAGGAGAGTGTTCAATTGACTAGCAAATTTAAATACACTAACAAATTGAAGCCACACTCCAGCTAATACTTTTTAAGCAGTTACAGCAACAGTTTTTTGTTTCCCTTTTGGATACAAAGTTTTACATAAATGAATAAAAAGCTGATCATTGCAAGCACCCCTGTCAGTGGTAAGTGGTTTGTGTCATCTCTCTATCTGCTACATGTGCAAAAGAGCTTGTTCTTTTAAAAAAAATAACAGACTTACTGACTGGATCAGCAGGTGTAAAAAAGGGAAAGAAAGCCTAGAAAAGAAAACAAGTGCAGCCATCACATCTAAGAATTGGTAAGCTGCAATATAATAAATGTTTGCTTTTGGCTTAAAAAAAAAAACATTTTCGCTTATATATACTTTAAAGTGTTTTAAACCTTTTTTTTTTTTAGTTTTATAGGTCTTTCTCCTGCCAGCAAGGACATGCTGTGCAGAGAAATACAAAGCAGCATGTCTACCTAATAAAACACACACAGCACATAATGTAAAACAGCACACAGTACACAGTTAACCCTTTGATCGCTCCAGATGTTAACCTCTTCCTGCCCAGTGTCATTAGTACAGTGTCAGTGCTTTTGATTAGCACTGATCACTGTATTAGTGTCACTGAGGATGTCAGTGGCAGTTAGTCAGTTCCCACCCAGTGTTAGAATGCTCGCCTCAGTCCCGCCATAAGTCGCTAATTGCATTGCTACTATAAAAAAAAAAAAAAAAAAAAAAAAATTCCAGTGTATATATACTGCCAAAACGATATAACTTACACATAAACCAATTATTATACATGTATGGGAATTTTTTTTTTTAGCAAAGACATGCAGCAGAATACATTTTGGCCTAAATTTATGATGAAATTTGATTTTTTTTATTTTTTTTTTCTTAATATGTTTTATAGCAAAAAGTCAAAAATATTATTTTTTTCAAAACTGTCAGTGTTTTTTTGTTTATAGCGCAAACAATAAAAAATCAAATACCACTGAAAGAAAGCTCTATTTGCGGGAAAAACCATAAATTTAATTTATGTACAGCACTGCATGACCGTGCAATTGTGAGTTAAAGTAATGCAGCGCCATATTGCAAAAAAATGACCTGGCCAGGAAGGGGAGTAAATCCTCTGGAGGGCAAGTGGTTAAAGACGAGTCAGTATGTCAGCCCCATGACAGGTTCTCTTTAATATCTTTTTTTATTTTTTTTTTACTGGATATGTTTTATAGCAAAAAGTCAAAAAATTTTTTTTTTCAAAGCTGTGTCTTTTTTTGTTTATAGCGCAAAAAAATAAAAAATCAAATACCATTGAAAGAAAGCTCTATTTGCGGGAAACAAATAACATAAATGTAATTTATGTACAGCACTGCATGACCGTGCAATTGTGAGTTAAAGTAATGCAGCGCCATATTGCAAAAAAATGACCTGGTCAGGAAGGGAGTAAATCCTCTGGAGGGCAAGTGGTTAAAGACGAGTCAGTATGTCAGCCCCATGACAGGTTCTCTTTAATATCTTTTTTTATTTGCAGAGTTCCAAAGCGAAAAAGAAAAGCGTGGAGTGATCTATTTTTCATACAGAATTTCCTCATTATTGTGGGATGACATATGATTCAGCTTGTTGGCTTAGAAGGCTCTTTTATAATGTGCACACATCTGAACCTATTTTGATCTTAGAGCGCAAGTTCCTGCACACTGTACTCAGCGTTTGATTAATAGAAGTGAGCAAATTGTGTGAAATCCTTTTCACAGAATCAGCCACAGGAGACGAAACCCACCTAATATAACTGATGATTTTCCTATGCCCTTATAACTACCCTCATGCTTCAAGCTAGTCACCACGGGTTGATAAAGAACAGAGATACATAGCGCCAGACCTATTTTGAATAAATTAGAATATTTAAAGACACTCGCTTTCATAAATCTGTTTGTTGGTGGTAAACTTGTATACAGTATTGCCATGATTCTTCTTGCTTATACCTCCAGTGCTTGGCAGAAGGGATTTAAAGGAGATCCAGAGCGGATTTGTATATATATTTTATTTATTTATTTATTCTGTTCGGGAGTAAAAATTAACATTTTCAATTGTTTCCTTTTTTTTAATTAGATAAAAAATTAAGTATAGATTGCCTGATGAAAAAGGAAATATTACACATGAATATTTTGTGGAAAAAAGTTTATAGATCTCATAAGCTCAAGCTTAAAGTGGTTCTAAAAGCTCAAGGTTTTTTACCTTCATGCATAGAATACATGAAGATAAAAAACCTGTGTGCAGCAGTCCCTTCAGCGCCCCCAATACTCACCTGAGTCCCATCGCGATCCAACAATATCCAAGAGATTCTCGGCTTGCCAGGGAATATCCCTCCTCATTGGCTGAGACAGAAGCAGGAGCCAATGAGGAGGCAGTTAGCCAATGAGGAGAGAGAGGGGTGAGGTCAACTAACGGCTCCATCTGTGAATGGACACACAGAGCAGCGGCTCGGGATTGCGCCTGCTTGGGTGCCCCCATAGCAAGAGGGACAGAAGAGAAGAATTGGGACTGCTCTGAGCAAAACAGTACACAGAGCAGGTAACTAGAACATGTTTGTTATTTAAGAAAAAAAACCTGAGCCTTTAGTATCACTTTGAAGCTGAACACCGGGCTTACTCTGATTTCACTGCACACTGTTAGCTTCTAATAATGATAAATGGAAGCTGCAGTAAGTCAGACAGAGCCTGCCTCATTTCCTGGCTGGAAGACATGAAGCTTCATCTTGCCTTTTCCTCCTCCTCTCGCCTGAGGATCCAGTCACACTTGTGCGACTTGGAAGCCACTTAAATCTACTTTAAAAAGATTCCTGCACTACTTTGATGCGATTTTCATGCAAAATG